CCTTTAAGAAGAATCTTGTCTGCCATCTGCTGGACACTTTTTGTTGTGCTCATATTTAGACATCCTATTTTGCAAATGCTGCCTTTCTGAAATTTGGTATGCTTGTTTGTCTTTGTGTCTATGGTGTATAATGATGTGATTGTGATGCTGTAATTCTGAGTGTTTTATGTGCAGCAGAACAGGAACCTGCTGTAAAACAGCGATTATGCTGAGTCAGGCTTGATTTTTAGTAATCTTTTCCTGTTAAATAAATAAATCAAATCAAATCAAGTCATGAATCTGACCTGAATCCACAGAAATATGACTCTGTTGTGTTTTCTGGATGTAAGGAGCGTCTGAACACAGAGTTAGATTTTTATTTTAGCTTGAGTTTTTATTGTTTAAACTCGAACGATGATGAAACKGAACCCTGGGACTGAAAATCAGATATTGTCCAAGATTAACCTTCCCAAAACCCAAAACCCTGATGGTCAGCTGATCAGTGTCCAAGTTCGTCCTAGATTGTGCTGGTGACTTTGAAGGGTCTGGAGCTTTCAGATGATGGAGCAGCACACCGTGTCTGTGAGTGTCTTATCTCTTAAAGTTGCAAACATTTCTCCTTCACTTTAGCTTTTTGATTTTTATGCTGCTTGACTTTACAAAACAAATCTAAAACATTTTACACTTAGGTAAAACAAAACATGATGGGAAGACGAGAGGGACGAGAGGCCTCATGGATCAGTGGTGTTTACACACTATATGGTTGCCTACGCCATGTTCCATACACTTGTTGTGTGAAAGGGATGTTTTCATGATTAGTCAATTCTACATCTGAAACCATGTTACATCCAGGTGATACCTGTAGTTTACCTTTTCTTCCTGTTGCCATTGTGATACATTTATGAGTTGAGTAATGTCTGACAGTTCCAGCCTGTTGTCATCACTGAACCTAGAATGGAGAAGGAACCAGAAAGACAACATACATGTCAGCAGTGGGTGAAATCAGAGGGTGTTGACACTTTCTCTTCACCCCCTGCTTATAAAGTTTATGTAGGAAAAAAAAACTTATGGACAGACAGGGAACACCAGAGATTCTGACAACACACAACAGCAGCTGCTAAAGCTGTAAAATCTCTCTATCCAAGCCAGCACAATTTATTCTTTGTGTGTGACCCATGTTACTAAAAGGCATTAAAGGGATCCATGATTAGTTGTAATATTAGACTTTATTTGATAAACATATATATTTTAACTGTAAAATAAAGACTGTAAAAATAC